ATGATGATAGAATAGCCTTGTTAGCAGCTTGAAAAATGAGGCTCGGCGGCAACGCTGATCCATCTGCGCACACACCTGCCTAGAGGGTAATCCATTCACGTGAGCCATCCTGAAGAGCTTCTATAACCTCCTTTTTCTCCCACATCCATCTGCTGAACACTCTTTTTGATCGGCTAGTGATGCAAATTAAGAAGCCCTTCTTGTCCATATTGTACAAGTGACATGGCTCAACGCCGTACTTAGTAATTTTAACCTGCATGAGGTAAATTATGAGCTGTATTTAGCTCCTGAATCAGCTTGGTAGCGATTGTAGTCTATACCAGTTGTGCAGTATCAGATGAGATGGATGTTGTGTTTGTTGATGAAGCGAGTAACCCAGCTCTCGCTCACCAGCTCCTTTGTAATCAGTGACGCGAAATTCTGTACCATCTCTCTTGTAGGAGGCAAGTGACATGTTGTGGGCCTTTCTATATATCCCACAAACTCTATCTCTTGTTGTGGAGTGAGCTTCTGTTGGTTGATGATCTTTGATACATGCGGCTGTGTTATAGCTCGGTGCCTTCACCTTAAAGTTAAGCGAGAAACACTGAAATTTTTTATAGCTATTTTCCGGTACGAGAAATCTTCGCCAAGCTTCAGCAACTCTAGATCTTTAAGCGCATCATCAATTGGAGCCATGATGGTGGAGTTGTAAGGTTGTGAAGTTTGAGTGTTTTGATGTTGGGAGCCTATCACGCGGAACAACATAACAACTCAACTAAAAATGAGGCTATAGAGCCACCCACAATAGCTATTATCACGAGAATTTGTAGCAGAGTACTTATTACATACATGCGATCTGGGACCCCAGCAGCGGCGATTGCCTCCAGACGCTCAAGGGCCATAGCGATTATGTCAACGCAGTGGCCTTCTCCCATGACTCTACACTGCTGGCGTCGGTGTCAGATGATAGAACATTCAAGATCTGGTACCCCAGCAGCGTCGACTGCCTCCAGACGCTCGAGAGCCATAGCAGTAATGTCAACTCAGTGGCCTTCTCCCATGACTCTACACGGCTGGTGTTCGCATTAAAGAGTCAAACAGTCAGCCTCTCTACAAGTTCAAATAGCATATGGATAAGACTTGATTCAGAGAACCTACTATGGCTACCCTTAGAGTATCGACCAGTTTGTTTCGCAGCGTCAGGGAAGATTATTGGCATAGGTGGTAGAACTGGAAGAGTATGGATATGTAAAGTTCAGCTTAGCATATCGTAAGATGTTAGAGAATTCTTATAAGATAATTTACTATCTTATTATTATTCTTTTATCTCTATTTCATAAAGAGGTCCGGGGATCGATGTAAATATATAATTTGCTAATTTACCACATCGAAGCTTCGAGCATTTCCTAGATCATGTGACAGAGAGCTTATCATAAAATCACGTGTTAGATTCGCCACTTATGTCTCTACTAAGACAGACAATATCATGATTCACACTATTAGCAATGGCGCCCAACTCGCTCTTACCATAGAGTTATTATGAAGCGAATAATTTTTATATGGCCGAGTTCCATAATTTTCGTCACCTTAGCCTTCCCTGGGGTCCGCTGGGATTTCAATATAATTTGTGGGCCGTTCAGCCGTATAGCTTTACGGACGGTAGTTGCTAGATGCATCTCATTCGTGAAGACCCTTTGTTCTAACATTGATCTTCTCTATTGTAATGGGTTATTGCCTAGGTATATGAGACTCAGGCATGAAAGGCCTTTGTCACGTGCCTTTGCCCATTCACCAAGCTGAGCAAATGCTTAGTCTCATGGCAAAACTTTGGCTGGAACTGAAACCTCTAGCCTCTAAGAGAACGCAATATGTAGGCCCGTAACAACTTCATAGATTCCTTAGCAATACCACTAAGTTATAACCTATACCTATCCTTTGGCAGCCTTGCTGCGTATACCTCTTACACCAGGAACTGATGACAACTGAACAAAACCCCAAAATCACATACAACCCTGTAAGGCTCCGGTGGTTGACTACCAGAAGCTAGGTTTGAACGGAGTTGAATTACTAAAAGAATTATCTACATGAGAGCATGAACTGATAGTTGTAAAGACTTTGTAGCGCTAACCAAATCGAGCACGAGGTAATGACAACCGAAGGGCTGCTCCTGAGGATTACTTCGGGCTCTAGCCCGTTACAACAATTGCCCTATCTAAAACTGCCCAGTTGCGGGTAATTTAAAATAAATGCCTTTCAAAGGTGCTTTGAGCATACCAGAGGACCTCTATAGCAGCAATAGAGAAGGAAAGTGAAACGATGCCAATCGATCTATATCTGGAATCACTGGCAAAAAAAAGGGGCAGCAGTGACTACAAACCATCTGTTCACAAAACAAATCAACGAGAATACCGAAAAGGTTAGGATAGCAGCTAGGCGAATTTGAAAAAGCTACAGAAGGGGATGTCCTACCCGCCAGATTGAACAACCCGCCACTGGAATCGATCAGCTTCGATCCAGAGCACAAGAGGCAGTTGAAAAATATGAAGTTGTTAAAAGAGCTGGCTCTAGATCAAGGCAAGGCAGAACAGTCCAGGGCTACTGCAAATATATAGCCATCGACAAGGCAGTGTTGACGGCATGGAAAGAGAGGTGGCATCAGGAAGCCAATAAAGCTGACCAGAATGCAGCCACCTCGGTGGAGGGATGGGAAAGCCAACCGCTACACCTTTATGACGGTCTTCCTAAACATGAAGCAATTGCAGTCTTTCTACTTCGTACTGAAGTCTTTGGACTAAATGACTGGCTAGCGAGGATTGAAGTTCCGGGAATCGCCCAAGGCCGTCCATGTGGAACCGGACGGAAAACACTTCAACATATCCTAGCGTTCTGCCCCAACTATATCCAGCCCCCGTGCGAATCTTCTTTTAAAGACAGGCACTATAGAGCTTCCGGAGATGTTGAAGGAGAAGGGACGGCAAGAGCAACTGCGCAATGGCTCTTAGAAACAAACATTCTGGAACACTTCCAAGTTGCAAGGGCTATTACAAAAGAGAATACAAGGGACTAGGCCCCCTTCCAACTAACCTAGGCCGTGTCATAATAACCTCTCTGTTGCCTGAGCGGCAGCACTGGTAGATAGGAAACAACAACTAGTACCTGGTGAAATAACTCACTAAAGCTATATTAGAATGGTTTAAGTCGAAGAAAAGGCAAAGATTTTGGCTGTTGGAGGGAGACTCCTCTAGCGTCGGGTTTACTTTGCTCTACACATTGATATTACGTATTCATAGACCCGATTGGGAACCAGGTAGCACGTGAAATTGAATTATTATTATTATATGTTTCTGCTCTTTTTTATGCACATAAGGTACAGTCCAAGATATGCAGCGATAATTATTTTATTTGATCCGAACACCTGATAATGATGAAGCAGGCCGCCTATAAACTTGCAAACAGCTCTGTATATAGCATCAGCGATGAGCATGAATAATAATGAGGAGCATGGTCACAAATATGATTTTTTATCCCGACTTCTATTAGACAAACGATGCCCACTTTTGAGTGTAGAGCTGTTGGAAAAAGAATAATATAGAATTTCCGAGTAGAGCAAGGAAGAGGCTAGTAAAGTAGTATTCTTGTTATCTATTGCGATATGTGATAAGGAAAAGCTGTGCTTGACCTCCTCTTTCTTTAAAAGAGAACATTTATGAACAGAAGTGTCTAGATCAGTATTATAATAGGATAATCTCAACCTCGACTAATTCGAGATTCTGTAGCCTGTAGTAGAAGTTTGATTTACATTTCCTCTTTGACCGAACTGCACTCTTCTTCTAATTAAACTGGAGTAGGAAGTGGGAGCGTACTTAGAGTGTGAGTCCAGCAAGGCGTGATACGTTATGAAGGCCTAGATGGAGGAACCAGCAGTTACTATGGAGGATTATGTTCGAGAATGAAGATATATCTATATTTCTCGTCTGATCATGTAGTTATAACGTTGTACCTGCTCCCTTCCCCCCATCCTTTTCTCTTCCCCCGTCCGCCTATCCTTACCCGGATATAAAACAGGATATCTTTAAAAGAAAACGTACCCAACATCCAGCTCACCCCTACTTTTCCCTCCCCTGCACCCAGTCAGAGAGCACCTCTTTCTACCCCAACCATCCACTAATTCATCTCTCCCTACCCCTCCCCATGCTCTTCCCCTTATTCCCCACTACTCCCCTGTCTATTCTACCGGAAGTGAAGGGAGGGTTGAGGTCCTCTAAGCATGCGGCGCCATCATTCGATGTGGAAATCCCCATCTTCTTTCGATCTTAGCATCAAGCGTTGTACGTCCACTGCCGATAGAGTGTGGATTGGTAGTGTTTTTGTTAGACGGACTTGTTAGTGGCCAAGCATCTGATTGGTGGCTGCTGCAGCAGTATGGGTTACAACTGTGAGCATTTCTAAAACAGCGGGGAAGACTGAAGAATATCATGGATAGGATCAGATAAACTCAAAGACCAGGGTAGATGCAGTCGCCTTTCTAATCCGCCAAAACTGGAAACGGAAAGATAAAACCTGCAGTTAAAAGCTGAATCTTCTGATCTTACCATGTTGCCCAACTCCTAGTGTACCAAATCCCCCATGCTTTACTAAACGGATAAATATATGTAAAATACCGAATGTTGACCTAGAATATAGAAAGAGAATACGTTAGTGTAGACATTTATATTACCAGGTTTATAAATAAAACCGACGACTCTTTTAGTCGCGACTCTATGTAGTCTTTGATGACTGGTAACCTACGGTAATAGACGTTTCTATAAATCCAACACATTGAGAAATATGTCTGACCTATTCGTATAGGATTAGATACGGTGAAAGTGCCTATAGTGCTATCTGTATTCTGGGAATAAAAAATGCGCAGATAAATCTCTGAGCAAGAAAAACTGAAGAAATCGCCAAGCAGCGAGAAAAAAAAATTCACACATGCAAAACAAAACCGGTTACAACGATACCAAGCCATAACAAAAAGTTGACTCGGCCGAGACTTGAACTCGGGACCTTTTGTGGAAACTTAACAATGTTAGACAAACGTGATAACCAACTACACCACCCAGCCAATACTTGATTTGTATAGTTTAATGTAGGGTTTGAATTTAACAAACAACCATAATTTAGGGTGGGCGCTAGTCTATGTGGAAAAGGAAGGTTTTTGTATCGGCGGTGGCAGGGGTCCTCTCCCCTAATAGACGAACATCAGACTGTGGGCCAACAGTCGGCATAACCAGAAACATTACCTAGCCTTGCCATAGAACTTGCTAGAGAGCATCCCATGAAGATAAGCTTGGTAAGATGTCTAAAAATGGCCCATACAGGTACATACAGGAGAGAAATGCAGAAGACATAATTAAAAATACCACCACTCAACTTCCGAACTAAAAATTTCACTTGGCCGGCCCCTCAAAAATGTCCAAAAGTGTCGCAAACGAAATCCCATCCCTTCCAGACTTTCAGTCACACCCCAGAACAAAAAAAAAGCAGAAACAAAGAAACAAGCCCGACGTGGGGGTCGAACCCACAGCCTTCAGATTAAGAGTCTGACGCTCTACCGATTGAGCTAGCCGGGCTGATAGGACTGGTTGATAAAAGACTCGCCGCACTACAGAGATTTTGGTTTCAAGTCAGAAGGAGTCCTCTCATTCTATTGATTGAGCTATCGGGACTGATAGAACTGTTTGATGAAGAAATGGGTGAAGATTTCTATTGTTAAGTTGAGGCTCAAGGAGGAGCGACACGAGGAATTTTTTTCAACTATAGCTCTAGGTATGCGTGTCTTTGTTCAGTAGCTTTACGGATTAGAAGTTCATCAAGTCTGCAAAGTCGTTAGCTTTCCCCTTCGTGCAAATTAAAGTCAGATAGTACTCACCTCTCCCAAATAGCGCCCTCTTACTCCAATCCATCGCCAAGAGAATCCGCGTCCTCAAGCTCACACTCTGCGCAAAGTAGATACTACGCCACAAATACACAGCCAACAGCCCACCGCTAAAGTTCAAACCATTGATGTCGAAAACCGCTGCATTGCCAATGTAGGCCAGACTGCCGAGGTGCTTGTACTCAAATGCCTTGTACACCGCGCTGTCCAGGTCACCATAGTCCATCTGATTGAGTTGCATACCCTCGGAGGCGTGCGCCAGCTTGTTAAACTTGCGCGCGAGATACTGACCCTGTTGATGTGCGCGCTGGGCGGTGGCAGGCAGAGAGGTAAGTTTGGAGTCGATTTGTAGGAGGAGCTCCCTAAGCTCGCCGAAATCGAGGGTCCCGCTCTTATCTTTATCGTACTGTTCGAACAGCTTGTCCAGCCTTCTAAGATGGTCACTAGCCTGAGGGAACCTCTGCTTCACTCTCTTTGCCACCCCACGCCAGTCGGAGTAATGAATCTCCATTTTTTCAGGGTCCTTGCCCTTCTCCCAGGCTAGAGTACGGATGAAAGTGATTATGTGATCGGAGACGTTGTTTTGCACGGTACTGCAGTCGCCTACAGCGTAGACGTCACCAAGAGGTGCTCCGACAAGACGAAGATGGGTATCCGTCTCCAAAGCATGCCTGTTGTGCTGACCCTCGAGCTTGGCTGCAAGGCGTTTGCAGAAATCGGTTTGCGAAACACCCGTGGACCACAAACAGAAACCCATTGGAATTTCCTTTGTGATCACCTTACCCTGCTCATCCTTTTGGGTGAAGAGGATCTTGTCAGGTTGCACCTCTTTGACGCGAGAATTGGTCAATACATCAACAGAGTCGTGGGCAAACCTCGACTATAGTTTGTTAGTAAATAGTTTATGGGGCGGTTAGAAGCATATACCTCTGCGTATTTCGACAGTGCCTCATCGTAGGTGTTGAGAATGTGTCCCCGACTCTGGATGAGGTGGACAGAAATCTCGTTCCTCAAGATCTTTGGGAAGTACTTTGCGAGATCTTCATTGAGCATATCAAAGAGCTCGGCCGCGAATTCGACACCCGTTGGACCGCCTCCGCAGACGACGAATGAAAGGAGCCTCCGTCTTTCTTCGTCCGAAGTGGTCGGTAGACAAGCACTTTCTAGATTGCGGACGACAGAGTTTCGGATTAGCCTGGCATCGCTGATATCCTTAAGGAAGTGGCAGTTCTCTAGTCCTTGAACACCGTGCGGGTTCGTTACGGAGCCTGCAAAGTAAGTCTTAGCCAACTTCTATCCAGCTGATGAAGCCAATCTGTCTTACCGACGCCAATGACAAGCTTGTCATATGGGACATAAAAATGTTGCTTCTGACCATCTGGTCCAATTGCTGATACTTCCACTAGTTTCTCTGAGAATTCAACATCCTCTGCCATGGCCTTCAAGAAATGACCGTGAACCCTTCTCACAATCTTCCGTACCGGTTCCACCAAAGACCTCAGTTCTAGTGTTCCTACTGTCGCAGACGGCAGCATTGGCGTGAAAAGGAAGTGATTCGAGGGAGATATGACCGTCACATGGTAGTCGTCGGGATTTAGTTGTTTTAACAGGGACACGCTTCCCCAACCCGTCCCCAGAATCACCAATCTTGGCTTGCCTTGTTGTCTCCTTGCCTCCTGGGATTCATCGTCGTCGACGAAGCATTCCGCAATTGGCAAATTCTTTGGACCGCCCCTCCGTGGATTTAGTGCGAGTTGTGATACTGGTATATCCTCCGCACTTGGGCCCTCAGCGTAGGTAGTGTAATCGTAGATGAAGAATGCAACGACCAGTCCACCCAAGCCCAGCGCAAAGAAACCCAATCCGGCAGCAGTTCGGTAGGCAATCCGAACGAGTTTTGAACGAGATTCAGGGAGCGATTTAGTGGAGGCAGCCCTGATTAAGGGTGCAATGTTTTGTTTCGGTGGTACCGAGTGGAGTGCGGAGGAAGCATGCTGCGGGCGTTGGGAGAAGAAAGAGGAACCTAGTCTACTATGTGAGGCCCGAGTCTGGGCACCAAGGGCTCGAGGTATCCGGGATGGTTGTCTTATCCAATGTGATGAGCGATCAAGAGTGTGCGCAGAAAACAACCCAGTCTGCCGCCGAAGCATGGCGAGGTGTCCGGTTCTGGGCGGTTTGGGGAGAAGTCGAGGGGACTATGAGGTCAATTGGTTTAGGGAAAACGAGGGTAATATTACGATATCATAAAGTCGTTAGGTATGATGGCTTATGGGTGGAGGAATAGCTGTGAAGGTTGGTGCTCAGGATGTGGAAATGTTGTTATTGCCTCAAAGCTCGTTTGACTAACCTCTGACGTAGGACCGACCCCCTGCGATGAGAGCTGTGAGCCAGCAAGCACGCTAACTCTTTCGGGAGCTCTCTATTTCCGTCAAAGTCAAGCAACTTCATGATACATAGCATCAAAAGTGGACGAATTGGAGATATCTTAGATTTAATGCTAAGTATTAATACAACGCTACTGCGCTCCCTATATTCAATCCCTTTAAATTCCGGTATATACTCGAGCCTAACAGGCCCATACTCCGACCATACCATTTCTACGCCCTTCAACCATGTAGCCATCTTTAATCCGTACCCGCTCAATGATCGAAAGGCGGGTCGCATCATCATCGACTCCCACTCCAGGCCCGCAATTCCAGTGCCGGCCGTCAGTCTTGTCGTAAACCTTCACAACGTCTTCTCCCGCTGCCGTAACAATACGTCGGGCGTCGAACATCATGCTGGTAATTGGATTATCGTAAGCATAGGCATCGTGGATCGATCCAGTTCGAAGGTCCCAAATCTATTATTGGTTAACCAAGCTTATGAGATTCATATCTGTTGGTCTGCTTACCCGGATACTCCTGTCCATACTTCCTGTAACAAGGTGGACGTCGTCAAATTGCAGAGCCGTAACCGGTCCAGTATGGCCGACTAGGCTGCGATGAACTTGACCACTCCTGAGATCCCAAAGTCTGACCATCCCATCTGCAGTTCCGCAAGCCAGTGCAGCGTCAAATACTTGGAGTGCACCGACAAAGTCAGCTGATGCGTCCGGGATCCGCCCTCCTGTTTGGCGCCATGGGCTGCTGTTCGTGTTCAAAGATGCAGTCGCCTGTGCCGCAGCCCATAAGACATCCAATGTCTGGACACACCTCCCCTTCACCAAGTCCCATTGCCTTAATGTCTTATCTGCCGAACCGGAAACAAGTGTGTCGCACTTGAAATGCAACGCTGTAACTTCATCAACGTGCGATTCCAAGGAAAATAGAGGACAGTCTTGCATAATCGTCGGCGGAGGCGGCGGAGGTGCGTCTGCTGCATTTTCGAACGCCAATCCATCATCTTCATCGTCCCCGTCCTTGTTAATCCGATTATCTGCGGGAGCATAATCAGCTTTACTCAAATCCCACAGTCGAATTGTCGCATCCATGGAGCCTGTCGCGACAATATTTTCCTCGACCTGCAAACAGCGCACCGAAGACAGATGCCCCTCCAGCATGCCAATGCATCTTCCCGCGTTGAGATCCCATACCCGGACGGTGTCGTCCAAAGCGGCCGTAACTAGCGTACCCCAGGGCGCGTCGAAATCCATAGCAGTAATTACGTCAGTGTGAGCCTGTAATTCTTTGATTTTAGAGCCTGGTTCCAAATGTTCATGAAGAATCGGCATTGATATCCTCCGCACATTCCTCTTCCGCTTAGCCTTAGGTGATGGAGACGGTAATTTCTCATAAATCGACTCAGTCATAAATCCAGTGGGACTGTCTTGTTGGCTCTTAGAGGTAGGGGACTCCGGAGACTTGGGTGCCAGAGCAGCGGCATCCTCGAGCTCTTCCTGTAGATCCTCGATTTTATGATCGACTTCCATCAGCTCGTGTTCAAGTTCAGCTTCTTCATTCTCAAGGCCTGCCAACCTGTCCAACACAATCTTCCGCATTGTATTCAGGTTTGCGATCTTGTTATCGATCTCGTGTATCTCTGCCGCACACATGTGTTTCCGTACCCCCATCATCTCCAACCGATGGCTCATACTGTGCTTCTGATTTCGCAACGCCACCATTGAAGGTGGTATGTTCGGATCATCGCCATCTTTTTCAATCCCTTCCCCTATCAGTCTCTGACCTCTCGCATTATGCCTCCCATGATGGTTTTTCTTATGTCCATGCGCCTCAGGCAACGATGCCTTGAATCCCTCGAAAAGCGAGTACTCATTCGTATCCTCCGGAATATTTGCCAACAGTTCATCCGGCAGGTATGTCAGCGCTCGCTGCTGAATTTCAGAAACGGATATCCTCGACCGCACAAGCTCACGGGGTGTTGTCTGCGCGAAAGAAAAAACGGATCGCTGGAGCATCGGCCGGCGAAGCTCCCTGTGGAGCTCTCCCAGAGCGTTCTGATAGTGCTGACTTACTCCCTCGGCACCAATGAGAGTTCCTGCGGTAGCTGTGACTTTGCGGCCGAAGGCTTCTATTTGGCGTGTCTGCATTAATTTGTCAACAACCTTGGAAACACCTCATGCTGACTGTGTCGTCTCAGACTTACATTGATTCCCTCGATAATACTTGATTCCTCATCTGGGGGAGACATTGGTCTTGGACTGGTAGATCGACCTCGAGCTGGCGAGGTATTGCGGCGGCTGGAGGAGGCCATGCG